AATATATGTATAATGTATATATTAATAGTAATGGCATCGACATTATTGATTGTAAAYGATACGTTTGTCTAGCTATGCAAAAATGTTCTAGCTTAATTTGCTCTAAACCAATTATTGAATTTATACAATATTTATGATTTAAAATTTTCCAATTTAATTGGCTAAACATTTTGCCAATAAATTGACAATGTACCAAACAATAAACAATTGACAAATAAATTGGTACGTATGATACTAAATAGTAGGACAAGGTTTCCATAGTAAAAACCAATAGATTAGTATCAATACGATTACTAGTGTCAAACAGATTATTTTCGTGCATCAAAATTTTCAATGTAATAATTTCACTTAAAATATAAATTATTAAATTTATTAGTAAAATAAATAAACAAGCGTAAAATTTCCAATGTATTTGTCTAGTAATATATGATTTTTTGATGAATATATTAATTGCTTGTTGATCTAGTACAAATTTGTTGCATGGTAATTTTAGCATAATAATAAATGGCACGGACATTTTCAACCAATTCATACCAATACGTAACCAATTAGTATTGCCACGTTTATACAATTGATACGTATTGAATATCATTAAACATATTAGTAATAATCTAATAGCTAAAGTGTACTTGCTGCTAATTGATTGTTGTTTAAACCCAATTAGTTTCATTGCTAATATTAAATATTTTAAGTACATTATTTTAAAAAAATTATTATTATTAAATAGATAATTATTTTACTAATAAAAATTTTTTATACAGTGTATGATTAGTAGTACATTTGAAATAAACATAAATCTAATAATTTTTTTATTAAAATATTTATTAAAATTATTTATTATTGATTTTTTGTATTTGTGTGTAATATGTTTACATTAATTTACATAATATGATAAATGTATATTCTATAAAATATAGATTTTTTCAAAAAAAAATTTAATTAATAGTATAAATGTAATAGAAATGTTAATGTAATAATAGTTACAAAAAATGTTTTATTATCTATATACAATTATTGATTAATTTTATTTATTTACATTTTAATGTAAAATATTCAATATATATATAATAAATTAATATTAATGATTGTTGATATTTATACAATCAAATAAATAAAGTGTTTATTTAATAATAATACAAACATATAAATGCAAAAAAAATAAAATTGAATATTACATTAAGATAATTAAATAATAAATTTAATAATGATATTAATAAGATAAACATTATTATTATTAAAAACAATTAATTAATTAATTTTATTATTATCATTTTTTATTCTATTAAAAATTTGTCAATTTTTTTAAAAAATAGATAACTATGTACTAATTGAAATTTTAAATAAAATTTATTTAAAATAACTAAAATATATGACTGTATATGTTATGACAATAGACAGTGCGGTCCATATCATTGACGATTGAATTGTAAACAATGAACAAGCAGTCAAATCGATGGGTTGGCCAACAATATTGTTATACATTGTGTTCATAAGTGGATAGATATCCACCTCTACTGCGGACACCCCGTGTTGTTGTTGTTGTCGGTGGTGTAGGGCTTCTGGCGATTGTCTAGTATTCAATGCATAGACAATCGATTGATAGGTTTGTCGACTTTGACTGGACATACGTTGGGCACTCATAGTCAGCCATATATATAGTATACCAGTTACTATCAGTCGATGCAATTTCATGTATAACTTGAACCAATCATCTAAATAAATATATACATAAATTACGTTTGTATTTATAAATTATGTATTTAAACAAAAAAATTTATTTAAAAACAAATTTAACTATAAAATTAATTAATTAAATACAGTACATACCCATTTGAAATGTTTGGATAATACAAATTAATTGATATAAATTTATAGATATCGAATATATATATAGGATATATATTATAAGCAATGGCCTCGACATTACTGATTGTAATCGATACGTTTGTCTACTTAGTCGAAAATGTATTTGGTTAATTTTTTCTAAACCATCTAGATTATTTACTGTAAATTTATGTTTGCTAATTTTCCTATTTAATTGCCGAAACATTTTGCCAATAAATTGACAATGTACTAGACAATAGATAACAGCCAAATAATTGGGTACGTATGCAACCAAATAGTAGGCCATGGTTTCCAAAATAATTATCCATAAATAATTATCAAAATTACTACTATGGCTAATCTCAAATAAACTATCTTGATGATTATTTGTGAATAATTTGATCATAATAATTTCCATGATAATATAAAATATAATATTTGCCAATAGTATTAGTAAACATGCGTAAAATTTCCAATGTATTTGTTTACGTATATATGACTGGGAAATCATTAGACAATCAATTGCTAATGGATCAAGTACAAATCTATTGCATGGTAATAGTAGCATCAATAAAAATGGTATCAACATTTTTGTTACATGTATTATCAAGTTACGTAAATTTATTTTATGATTACGTTGGGAAAATTGATACGTATTGAATATTATCAATAAAATTAGTAACAATCTAATTGTCAATGTGTACTTGCTACTACTAATTATAATTGATTTATTGTTACTAGTTGTTGATTGTAGTTGTTTGAAACCTAATAGTTTCATTGATAATATTAAATATTTTAAATACATTTTTCAAAATAATTAAAAATAATAATAATAACTACAGTATTATATTGTATATTGTATACTTGTTTGTTAGTATGTATTAATTTATTTTGTTTTTATATATATACTAAATAATAATTATTATTATTATTACAAGTTTTATTGTTTTAATGTTTTATTATATTTACTTAATTTATTCATTATTTATTTTTTTCTATTAATAGTTATTTAATTAATTAATATTACATAAAGTATATGAAATTTTTTTTCACAAATAAAAAAAACTGTTTATTATTTAATTTTATTGAAATTTCATTTAATTTAATAAATTCAATAAAATACTGTATATTATTATTATTATTGTTAAATAAATACAATAATTTTATGTTTTATTAATACAACAAATAAAATACAAATAATTTACATAATAATATATAAATAATAAAATAATTGTTTACTTTATATATAAAATATATTAGGATTCTTACTAATAATAAAAATCAATAAATTCAAAATAAATTTATATTATTAAAAAAATAGTTTTATAAATTCAATCGTTAAATATTATTTGATTTTTAATTTAAAATTAGAATTTTATAATATTTAAATAATAATTAATTACTAAATAAACAAGTATAAGTCAAAACAACATATAAATACTGTATATAAATCTTAATAAATAACAATTGAATAAAAAAAATTGAATTAAAACAACATTTAAATATTATGTAAAAATTAAATGATAATAACTGCAAAATTAAATTTATAATCTTGATTTACTTTTATTTATACAAAAATTAAATTATTTGATTTTATGATCTCTTTAAAATTAAAATTTATTTAAAATAAATAATTAGTTTATTAAAAATTAGTATAGTATAGTTTATTTTATTGTAAATGTAATAATTTCAAAAGTTATATTTATTATTATCTATTAAAAGTCTAGACAGTTTTAACTTTTTTTAAAAAAATTAAATTAATTAAACTTAACAATCACACAAACAAACAATAACAGTCTATATTTTCTTTAAATAACAATTAGTTAACAATATTATTATTAATATTAAAAAACAATAGTTGCAAATAACATAATTATTTTTTAATTTAATCGTTTAGATTGCATGTAAAAATAAAGTATAAAATCTAAAAATTAAATAAGTTAACATAGTAATCATATTTATTATAAAAGTATTGATATTTTTTACTATTTTAACTTTAACAAATTTTTTAATATAATTATATAAAAAATTAAAAATCTATTATTTATTTATTAACTATGAAGTTAGTTTTAGTAGCAATAACTATTGCTATTGTAGCCTATATTGATGGATCAGGTAATCCAGTTAAATTAAATTAACTTTATTAGGCGTCGTTCACATATTACGTTCGCACTTTTTAAGAAATCTAGACCCCCTCCCTCCCTTATGTTCGCAATTGTTCGCATGTAGTCATTTAAAAAAATTACGTTCGCATGTCCCTAACCGCTACCCCCCCCCACCACAAGAAATAAAATATTATCTAAATGCGAACGTTCTTAAAGACTATACCCCTCCCCTCCCCCTCGTTCGCAAAAGTTCGCTTTGGCCAACCCCCCTCCCCTCAGTTGACAATTTGACGCCCGAATCGATTAAAGTGAAAACATTGCAATATATTGTCTACGAAACTGAGATTTACTATCGTATTCTGGAAAATGTTAAATAATTGATTTTTATGGGGTTTAAACAGGACAGTTGGCTACTCTACTATTTATTGTATTTTTTAATTTTTAAAATTAATATTATTATTGTTACAAAATTTTTTTCTAAATTATAATCCTAAACTAATAGTAAAAACAATAAAAATAACAGTTATTCAAGCATTTAATTTAATTGATTTATCATTTGTTTAGTTTATTTAGTTTTTTTTTATAGGTATTTTTTAAAAAAAAAATTGTTATTTAATTAAATTTTATTAAATTTTTTAAAATAATTTTATTTTTATATTAATAGAAAATTAATTTTAAAAATTAGTTAAATACTAAATTATAAAAAAAGTAAAACAAAATATCAAAATTTTTAGAAGTAGTAGTAGTAGTAGTATAAAAAAATAAATGACGTCATACATAAAAAAAATAATTAAAATTTTTTAATACTAAAAATATACGCCATTTTATTTTATTTTTTAACTATAATTAATAAAAAATATTTATTATACGAAATTTGTTGATTTAAAAAAATGTCTACAATTTTCAAAAATATTTTTAAACATATAGTACCCAAAAAAAATTAAAAAAAAATTATATTTAATTTAAATAATAATAAATAGATTTTTATTGTTCAAAAAAATTTTTTATGTTTTGTTTTGTTTAATGCTTATTATTATAATATATATAATTAGATTAATAAACAATATTTATATAACCAAATTAATTGTATTATTATTTAGATTTTTTTTTTAAAAAATAATAATATTAATAAGCAATAATATGACTACGACTATCATGAGCTACATGAGCTGCCGGAGCTGCCGGAGCTGCCGGAGCTGCCGGAGCTACTGGAGCTACTGGAGCTGCCGGAGCTGCCGGAGCTGCCGGAGCTGCCGGAGCTGCCGGAGCTGCCGGAGCTGCCGGAGCTGCCGGAGCTGCCGGAGCTGCCGGAGCTGCCGGAGCTGCCGGAGCTGCCAAAGCTGCCAAAGCTGCCGGAGCTACTACAGGTGCTGATTGCTGACCAGCAGCAGCAGCAGCACATCGATAGCTGGGTAGGGGTCCTTTACGAAAATGTGGCCAATGACTGATCCGATCGTACAATCGCTGGCCCGGACTTGAAGTATTGCATACCTGATCCCGGTGGCCGTGTAGTTCAAAATCTGGCCGAACATGTAATCGCCGGAGTCCGCATAGCATCAATTTTTTACCAGTCTCAATTACCAAATCGCTAGGTTCTACCTGATCATACTGGCCAACAACGGCAACCGTTATCGATTGATCGGCCATTCCCAGGGGTTGGGATCCCTGGGTATTATAATCGCGACCCAGATATACTCGGCCGTCACCGCCGATTAGGGCATTGTAGCTAATATCTGGATAACCGCGTACGTCCATATGATTGTCCTGGATTGATCGGACAGCCAGTATACATGAGTTCAGATCGCGGCACTGTCTCGAATAGCTACTGGTGTGATGTACGAATACATGGCTGACCGGTAGTTGCATGGGTGGTATCGATCGGTTGGGTGAACGGGCACCCCATTCGCTACGTAATACCCAATGTATGTCTGGACAGTCTATTTAATATATATATATATATATATATATATATATCAAAATATGGGATAAAGTTATAGAGAGATAGATAGAGACAGAGAGAGAGASAGAGAGAGAGAGAGAGAGAGAGAGAGAGAGAGAGAGAGAGAGAGARAGAGAGAGAGAGAGAGAGAGAGAGAGAGAGACAGAGAGAGAGAGAGAGAGAGAGACAGAGAGTGAGAGAGAGAGACAGAGAGAGAACAGAGAGAGAGAGAGTGAGAGAGAGACAGAGAGAGAGAGAGAGAGACAGACAGACAGACAGACAGACAGAGAGAGAGACAGAGAGACAGAGAGAGAGAGAGAGAAATAGTAAAAAAATTTTAAATCAAAATTTTAATACCCGTATGAATTGAATTATTATTATTATTATTAGCTATAGACGATTGTCTGGTAGTCCAATAACTATTACTACCATTATGAACAAGATAAAGAGGACCAGTAGAAAGAGCACCCAAATTTGCACCGACAGCACCACCAGCAGCACCTATAGGAGCACACCAGTAGGTGCACCAGTATTATTATTGTTATATATATGAATTAAAAACAAAGATTATGAGAAGAAAAACGTAAATAAAGAGAGAAAAACAAAAATTAAAAATAGAGAGAGAGAGAGACAGAGATAGAGAGAGAGAGAGAGTTAGAAAGTAAGAGAGAGAGAGAGAGAGAGAGAGAGAGAGAGAGAGAGAGAGAGAGAGAGAGAGAGAGAGAGAGAGAGAGAGAGAGAGAGAGAGAGAAGAGAGAGAGAGAGAGAGAGAGAGAGAGAAGAGAGAGAGAGAGAGAGAGAGAGAGAGAGAGAGAGAGAGAGAGAGAGAGAGAGAGAGAGAGAGAGAGAGAGAGAGAGAGAGAGAGAGAGAGAGAGAGAGAGAGAGAGAGAGAGAGAGAGAGAGAGAGAGAGAGAGAGAGAGAGAGAGAGAGAGAGAGAGAGAGAGAGAGAGAGAGAGAGAGAGTTAGAGAGAGAGAGAGAGAGAGAGAGAGAGAGAGAGAGAGAGAGAGAGAGAGAGAGAGAGAGAGAGAGAGAGAGAGAGAGAAAGAGAGAGAGAGAGAGAGAGAGAGAGAGAGAGAGAGAGAGAGAGAGAGAGAGAGAAATAGTAATAATTTTTTAATCAAAATTTTAAGAGAGAGAATTATTATTATTATTATTAGAGAGATTGTCTGAGAGTCCAATAACTATTAGAGAGAGAGAGAGAACAAGAGAAAGAGAGAGAGAGAGAGCACCCAAAGAGAGAGCAGAGAGAGACAGAGACCAGAGAGAGAGAGAGAGCACACCAGTAGAGAGAGAGAGAGATTGTTATATATAGAGAATTAAAAACAAAGAGAGAGAAGAGAGAGAGAGAGAAAGAGAGAGAGAAAATTAAAAAGAGAGAGAGAGAGAGACAGAGAGAGAGAGAGAGAGAGAGAGAGAGAGACAGTAAGAGAGAGAGAGAGAGAGAGAGAGAGAGAGAGAGAGAGAGAGAGAGAGAGAGAGAGAGTAGAGAGAGAGAGAGAGAGAGAGAGAGAGAGAGAGAGAGAGAGAGAGAGAGAGAGAGAGAGAGAGAGAGAGAGAGAGAGAGAGAGAGAGAAAATAGTAATAATTTTTTAATCAAAATTTTAATACCCGTATGAATWGAATTATTAGAACAGTTATATAAATTAATAACTGTTAACAACACCAATATTGATAGCAAACTAACCACCAATTGTTGTTTTTTGGCAAACATTTTTTAATTGTACTATAAATAAATATATAAATTATATTAAATTATTTATAAAAAAAATTGAAAATATAATAATTTTTAATCAAACATACAGTTTGTTGTAGTTTTTGTTGTAATAATATGTCTGTCTCTCTCTCTCTCAGTCACTAAACAACTACTGCTAACTATAAAAAAAAATGTTATAAAAATATAAATCAGATTTTTTTTAGAAATAAATTAATTATAAAAAATGTCTATTAAGTAATATTTTTTTATATTAAAAATAAATTATTATTAAGTAATAATTTTATATATAATAAAAACCACGGGTTAAGCATCAATAGAGGTATTAATATAGTTATAGAAATTTATAATAATATTTTTTACATTAATAAATTGAATAATTGAATAAAATAATATTAATTTTTTATTATGTATTTTTATATCTTTAATAAAAACTAAAATCTATTTTAGAGAAACAAAAAAAAAATAAAATATATATTTAAATTTAATTTTTTAAATAAATATCCTATAATTTAATTCTCTTTATAAACTTAATTTATTTTTTTTGGAAATAAACTTTAAAAATATATATATAATAAAATTATAGATTTTACTATATTTTTAACTAATAGTATTTTATATTTTTCACTTCAATTCCCTCCCTCCCTATTCTATCCAAAAACTTGTTTAACACAAATAAATTTAATTATATAATATACTATATAAAATTATAGACAAAAACCTAGGTAATGGTTTTTCAAGATAGACTAAATAAATTAATTTTATTTAATATTATATGAATTTTATTAAATAAAAAATAACTGTAGTTTTAAAATTTGTTTTTATCAAAAATAAAGTAGTATTGCCAGTAGTAGCATTAATTCAATAATAATAGTAGTAGTAGTATTTTTTAAAAAAAAATTATTGACATCAAATTTTAATAACTTTAGTAAAAACAAAATAGTAGCTATTATATTTTTAAAAAAAAATATAATTAACAAAAATATTAATTATAATTATTTTTTTGTTATTAAAATATGATGTCAATTAAATTAAATATGTTATGGTAGAAATTTAAAAATTTAAACTAAATAAAAATTTTTTGGTTATATATATTTTAGTATATATACTGTATATATATATATATATATATATATATATATATATATATATAGTATATAAAAACAGAAACACTAAACAAAAATTATAAATTATTAACAGATAATTAGTTAATTATATTATTAAATAATAATAATAATAAATAGATTTTTATTGTTGAAAATTTTTATTTAATTGCTTATAATTAATTAATATTAATAACTATAAACAATGAATTGCATTAATATTTAGTTATTTAGTTTTTATTAAATAATAAATAATATTAATTAATTTGTACAGGAACTACATAAGCTACATAAGCTGTAGACCAATCAAGCTGGTTGACCAACACACTGAAATGTAGGTAGGGGTCCCTGACGGAAATGTGGCCAATGTTTAACCAGATCGTACAACCGTTGACCCGGACTAGTAGTATTGCATACCTGATCCCTGTGGCCATGTAGTTCAAAATCTGGCCGAACCCTGGATCGCCTGAGTCCGCATAGCATCAATTTTTTACTAGTCTCAATTACCAACTGGGATGGCTCTACCTGATCATACTGGCCAACAACGGCTACGGTTATCGATTTATCAGTCATACCGGCCGGTTGCGAACCCTGGGTATAATAGTTACGGCCCAGATATACACGGCCGTCGCCACCAATAATTTCGTTGTAGCCAATATCTGGCCAACCGTGTACGTCCATATGATTGTTTTGGATGCTGCGTACAGCTTGGATACATGAGCTTGGATCCAGGCATTGGCTCGAGTAGCTACTGGTGTGATGTACGAATACATGGCTGACCGGTAGTTGCATGGGTGGTATCGGGTGTTTGGGTTCGCGGGCACCCCATTCGCTACGTCTAACCCATTGTATGTCTGGGCAGTCTATTTAATATATATATACTGTATATATATAGTGCATATCAAAATCATGGTTAAAGTTATAGAGAAATAGATACAGAGAGAGATAGAGACAGAGAAAGAGAGAGAGAGACAGAGAGAGAGACAGAGAGAGAGAGACAGAGAGAGAGAGAGAGAGGGGAGACAGAGAGAGAGAGAGAGAGAGAGAGAGAGAGAGAGAGAATATAGTAATAATCTTTAATTTTTTTAAAATCAAAATTTTAATACCCGTATGAATTGAATTATTAGAACAGTTATATAAATTAATAACTGTTAACAATACCAATAGTGATAGCAAACTAACCATCAAATGTTGTTTTGCAAACATTTTTAATTGTTGTCCTATAAAAACAAATATCTGTTATACTATTAAATTATTTTTTAAAAAAAATAATTTTTAAATCAAACATACAGTTTTGTAATGAAACCTCTACCTA